TATCGTAATATTATAATATACTTGTCCTACTATCGTTGTAATTGTACGGCTTTATACTTATACCAGCATAATCGGTCTATTTATACTTAATCTATACATTTACAATTTACTTAATAATTCGATTGACAAAAATCTAAAAACACATTTAGCTAAAATATAACCGATTTTGATTCCAAAGCAAATAAAAATGATAAAAAAAAAAAATCGAAAAATATGTAAAAAAAAAACAATATAAAATTTTTAATTTGAGTTCTCTGTATCATGAAATACATTTTTAGTTTACTCTACTATTTTTTAAGCATCTCAAAAGAAATATGCAAATGCTGTAAAATCTCAACCTTAGTAATTATTATATTATTTCATGATATTTATACAATTATAGCTGCTGTTAGTATTTTATAGGTCAATACAAAAATGTATACCTAATTTATAATTAATATATTTTTTGAATAATAACGAAATAACAAAGAAGAAAATAGGTAGTTTTTTTTACGTGCCTATATAAGTGTATATTATAATGTCATCAGAATTTGATCTTTTATAGTGTATAAAAAATGTTTGTGGCTTATTAACTTTAAACTTTTTTTTTTAATTTCCAGTAAAAACCTTAGATAAATGTTAGATAAAAATTGTTATGAATTTTTAACTTTAAAATAAATAATTACAAATTTCACTAATTTTGACAAATTAAAAAAAAAATTTTAATTTGAAACACATTAAAATTAAAATTATTATTATATATTTTGAATATTTTCTAATTTTTGAAAGAATAACTTATGAGGAAACTTATATTAAAATACCAAGTTACAGTTTTACTTAAGATTTACTAATAAACAAATTTTTCATTATATATACATCGAACATTTTAAATATCTATAAAATACATCCAATTTCAATCAAATTTGAAATTATAAACTGACTATAATATCTGTAAAATACAACTTTACTGTATTTATCTTTTGAAGAACCTCATTTTTGATTTAAGTCTTAAGTAGGTATTTAAAAATTGCTCATTACAATACTTAGTTTAAATCTACACGATTTTCATTAATTTCTTAAAACCTTAAACTTCAAATGCTTAAAAAAAATCTGTAAATATAATAATAATATATTGTATTTTCGATATTTTTCAAATACTGTAACTTTATATGGTATAATAAGTCATAAATCATGAGCAGTTTTTACTTTAACAGAAATTTTATACATAAATTTAATAAAAATAAAAGCCAAAATATTTTAAAATGTGTATATATTGAGAATAAGAAATAGTATAATATTAAATATTTAGTGAAAAATTTAAGTTTTAACAGTTTCTATAGCTACCTATTCATTATTGAATTAAAGCTGAAAAAAAAGTTTTTATCAAAAGATTTTGATAAGTAAATAGTTTTTTACCTTTGGTAAATATATGCACTACGCAACTTTTTGATTAAACCAATTTCAAATATTTTGAAAATCATTTAAATATTTATTTATTTTTTACATTTTAAATTTCACTATTAAGACTCGATTCTTGAATATTGAATACAAAATGACTTATATGCCTGCATCAAAGGGCTTAAGAAGTGCAAAAGTAAAAAACTCAGAGTATTTTTTGAAATAATAAAGAAATACAAGAAAATAATTAACGAATATCAAGATTACAAGAATATAAATAGATATTTGAAGTTTTCGGCAAAATAAATATTCGCTTATTTTATTGTAATTTAAAAACGAATAAACGTAGAGATTTGACATATTCTACGAAAATATTTATATTACCATTTTCTAGGTACGATATCATTTCAACATATTTAAAATTAATATTTGATATTAATATTAACTATATTATGCTTTTATACTATTTTTAGATGATGTAAATTATCTTATTAATTTTTAAAAATGTATTTGTTTAAATGTCTGTGTTTACCAATTAAATTCTTCCTGTCTAAACTCTAATAAGGTTATGGTCTCCTCTTTAATCTGTAATTTATTTAGGAATGTCCTAATACGCGTTAATAAAGCTTTCACTACACTTCGTTTCCTTTTTAAATCAGAAAGAGCCTGTTGCTGAATTTCATCAAGACCCATCTTAGACATTTAAAAACCTACCATTATCGCTTGTATCGTATAATGACAGAGAAAAAAAAAACAATAAATTAATAATAATAAAAATATTTGTAACTCGAACGGTTAAAGATGTAGGTAACTAGAGATATGATCTATTGCTCTATTCGCGACTTAACCTAGTAAGCAATTTATCATATCTGTAGATCACGTCGAGGTTACCAAAATGTACGGTCCGGCGGCGTATAATGATAATACGCGCGCGTTGAACACCTAATACCTAAATACTTCGCACGCACCACCTAATTCAAGACGCACGGTCTTATAATATTTACTTACATGCGAGTACATCGTTAAAATACACCATGAACAATAAAAGTATACAATGAATGGCAATAAAAATATGTACCAAAAAACAATATAAGTTTATAAAATTGCACAAAAATTTTTCATTACATATAACGAGAGACGAACAACTACACCAATCCACACACATAATCAGATGAACTTTACACAGGCGTTGCCCTCATTAAAATATAATAATATAATTTAAATACAAACATATTACTGATATCAACAAATTCCCGTACGTGTGTTCGGCAGCGACCGTGAATATGATTTAAATGTATACAACTTTACAACAAGGATCTTCATAAGTTGGTCTTACAATTTTATAAAAATATATCATAGTTTATAGTAATTTTTTTATCCACGATTTAAATTATGATTTGAATATTCAATTTATTTAAAACGAGATCACAATTTTTCTTTAACAATTTTAGATATTATACTTAAGAAAAAAATTAATTTCGGAGTCTTTTTGTTTTTAAGTATCTATAGTCTATACTATTGCACCTCAAAAGCAATGCGAAAAAAATTTCCCATGGCGTCGTCGGTTAAAAATTAAAAAAGAAAAAGGTATCTATATTCTATACTATTATTGTCTATACCAATACAGTTTACTAAATAATTTTTAGAAAAATTCAATCACAACCGTTTTAAAATTTTTTTACTTTTACATAGTAGTAAGTTGACTTGTTAGTGACAGATAATAACAATAATAATATTATAATACCTATATGGGTAACATAATACTTGATTTTTTAAGATAATAGTATATATAGCGCTTTTATCAAAAATTGGTTCAACAATTAGTACAATGCTACTAATAAAAAAAAATCAAAATTAATTTTTAATATATAATTATATAGATCCCTAGTAGAAATAAATTTTAAAATATCCTTAGAAATAAGAAATAGAAGCTGACACCATTTTCACTACAAATTGTACTTCATAATTTATAATTTATTATTAAATTAAAATTTAGCAGATTCATAGTTACTACTTACTTACCTGTACCCAATGATGACTCATTAGTCACTTGAAAGCTGTTAAGTATACTACTGTAACTGTTATTACATCATTTTATAACCATGATGTACATTAGGCATATTAGAGCTATTTAGTACATACATATATTTTATATATAGACACAATGTGTATAATATGCTGACTAGATATTAAATTCCCCTACTTTTTCCCACATTTGTTATTATAAGGCTATAGCTAAATTCTAATATGTAAGAGAATGACAGTTCTCCGTGATTACCATCATGCGCGCCCAAACTCCCACACAGCCCTACATTTTGCTAAACTGAGTTAGTAAGTTATAATAAATTTTAAATATTAATTATTATTAAACCAATCTACAATTATTTGTAATATTAAGATCCTCAATACTTTTCGTGCTCTTGAGCTACAGTTATTATATATTCAAAAGAAACAAACTTCTTCCCTGAATAAAATATATTTAACGGGTCATCCCCGACCATGTTACACTACAGCAAAGTAAATTCTCATGAAATGTTTAGTAAAAAAATTCAAAAAATATAACAAAAGTTTTCTAATCATTTTTCTTAGAAACATTTAAGATAAAAATATAGGGTTACAATTTGTCTATGAATGTTTAATTGTGAATTATAAGTGTTTTCTATGATAAAGATAATATATTGATTATATAAACATATTATCTATTAATAAAAGATTAAATTATTTTCAGTTTTATTTGAAGAGACTAGCTTATAATATCCAAGGAAAATTATAATTTATACAATACACAATGGTGTATTAGTGTTTTGATCATTGGATATAGGTAGTATTGTAATAAATTATAATAATATACCTAAAAGTATGAAGTTTTCACTTTAAAACTTTAGCTATGACCATTAAAAATTGTATAATTTGTTACTAAAAAATAAAATGACTAAATTTTGGTCATTTCCATGAATTTTGTAAACATTTAAACTTTAAATACTCGTAAAATAATTTTTGAATGCATTTTCCATTTTAAATAATTTAAAGCATTAATTTTATATTTTAAAATATTATTTTATTTTACTCATTCAAAAATAAGCTCTAGGGATTTATTTTCCCCTTCCCGCATACAATCATACAATCTTTTTTCAATTCTTTAAACAGTTTAAACTAGTATAAATTATTTAAGTACATTACCATAAAATTAAGAATCAAAATGAAAAGACAAGATTAATATACACATTAAAATTTGTAAAACACATAAATTAGCTACCTATGTTTGTTATTTTTACTTTTTATTTTTTTTTAAATTTGAACAGTTCATTGATTATGTTTTATACACTCATAAAAATATAAACTAAAAATATTATGAATAGATAACAAATACTAAAATACATTTGTATTGCATAAGCATTGTATTTGCTTATTCTTTTTCAGTAAAGTACTATAATAAAATTATTGTTTGTTATAAATTTTAAATTATATTACATACATATAAATAATAAATAAATACAATCCAGACCACCCTTGAAATTAATAAGTCTAGAATTATACGTATAAATTGTTTTGGATGTGAGAGGAAAATAAAATTAATTAATTCAACATTATGCTAATAATAATTATCTCAACAAAGTGTTTAATTAATCTATCATTTGTTGTTTTAAAATACAAATTACATAAAAAGTATACATATATTATTACTTCTTAGGCATGATACAATAAGATCTTAAATATATATTTTAGTGTTTTTCAAAATTAATTTATTAACTAATTCTTGATAAGTTGTTTTATTTTTACATAAAGCAGTTAAAGTAGGCTCAGCACCAAGGTCTCTCAACTCAGTTAATCGTTCCTGTAAATTAAATATAAATCAAATTTATTTATCCTTACTCAATTTAAAAAGTATTTAAAAACTGACCTGTAAAGTAGAAATACTGTGAGTAAATACACGTGGAGTACTCAATATATGTGTAGGTTTGAATCCTTCTTTGAGAAGAAAATCTAATATTTCTTTCAATTTAATAGGACTTACTCTCAATGTTGTAGGATATTTTGAACTAATATAACTTATAGTTTTTTCAGGTACTTTAAGTCTTTTGGCTAAATATTGTGCAGTAGAGTCTTTATTAAGAACTACTCTATTTTCTTGTTTTATCTCTATAGTCCTAATGCATATATATATATATATATTATATTATATTAGATTAATTTAATTCAATAATAATTTTATTAATACCTTTCGAATACTTCAGGTTTACATCGTAACATCCAAGGTTTAATCGGTAAATTTGCTGTTTTAGTAAGAGAAATTCTTTGACTTATTTGTTCAATGCTGTACATAAATATCCATGTATCTTTCCAAATATCATTCTTATCAACGTTATTTTCTTAAAAAATATAAAAACAATATTTAGTTAAGCCAGGAATTAAATTGTAAATTAAAAAAAAAAAATGCCTTTCAATAGAACACTTCCTGAATATCATCATTTTAAAGTACTTTTTGAGTTTTAATATTTAAGTACTTTTATTTTTGAGTAAAAAGCATGATTTATTTTTTAATTTTATGTAAAATAAATTAAATAATTACCGATCAAAATATGATATATGTGGTTAAGAGTTGCAAAGTTCCGTGTAAATAAAAATTTGTAATGTATCAAATGGTAACATACTTCTTGGGGATTTTTCTAAAAATATAAATTAGTTGTTCATCACTGATATTTATATTATTGTTATAACTCTGATTTTATTTAATATTCAAATATAGTCATAAGAATACAGTTTAGATATTCTATTGAATACAATTTTAAACAGAAATAACAATTATTAATTAAATTTCAACTTATCTTAATAATAAAATATAAAATCATTATGTTTCAACATTTAAGTTTTAACCATATGAAATACATAGTATTATATCACCTTGCCATTAAATCATATGGCCTTTCAATCCTTAGCTGTAAAAAACTATGTAGTAAAATAAACCAACTATACATTTATAAGTTTATAACTACAAAATAGTTTGTATATTTTCATAATTTTAACAAATTTTTGAAAATTCAAACTTTTAATTGAGCTATTAATCTTTTATTAAATTTTTAATGTCTAAGCCTGAAAAAATAAATTTTCGAAAATTGAAATGTATAAAAAAAATAAAATAATTAATTTTTGAGTTTCACCAAAAATAATAAAACTGGTATTGTATAAAAATTACTATTTTCCCTTAATTTTTGTTTTTTAAATACTGAGACATACTTTTAAAACTCTAAAGATTAACAACATCTAATTAGCTAGCAGAAACCATTCTCAAAATTAAAAATTTTAAGCATGGTTTTTGGCTTTTTTTAACATAAAAATGTCCTTGTTATAAAAATAAGTTTTCCCATAAATTTATAAATTAGGTAAAGCAGTATAAATTAAGACATAATATATGATCCAGTATAAAATGTATACATTCAAACCTCAAAAGTAGATGCAAAATAATAAACTCTGTTTCCACGTGGCACAATTTGTGATTCTAATTGAGTTTTTTTAGTAAGAAATACAAGTTTTTTCATAGGCATTTGAAGAAGTACAAACAAATCATCCATTTTTTTGGGATTCCATTTTTTAAGTAATGTTAGTCCATTACTTAAATGATCTGGAAAAAAAAACCATCAAAAACATTTTTTTATAATACTATTAAATTGTATAAACACGGATTTAACATTATTTAACTATCTATCTATCAAATAACCAAACAATCCATTGGTGTAGAAGAGTATTTTCACTCACTTTCATATCTGGAATGGTATAATTTTCTACCTAAAGTATGTCCTCTGTAGTCCATGTAATTATTATACTAACACTTAATTATTTTAAGTAATGTTAAGTTTTTCTTCAATGAAAACATTGCTCCAGGTTAGATCATTTTAAGGGCGAGAAATTTAGAAAAAATAAAGAGTATTGTTTTAAGTTATTCTTAAAAGAGGGCGCTTAAACAGTACCTTAGGGCGTCAGAAATGTAAATGCATCTCTGGTTTTACCCTCTATTACCAACAGGGGCTTATTATTTCACATGAACTTAAATACATGGATTTACATGTAATTATGAAACACGTGTAATAACAAATGTATTTAATAATACATAGATTTTCAGGAATTTAGAAATATACATGTATTTAATAACACAAATATTTTATAAATCATAATATATTAATGCAAACTTGGTAAGTACTAGAAATTAACTTTATTAAAAATGAGTTTAACAAGTAACAATAAACAATTTTATCATAGGACAAATTTAACAGATAAAAGGTTAATAAAAATGTTTTGTACATCATAAATTAAATTTTGAATTTTCTCAATAGGCGCAATTTAGATGTGTTGTATTAAAATATATTTATTGAATTGATTTAGTGATGCAATAAAAATTCAGAAAAGAAATTTAAATTGCAAGTCTACTGAGATTAATTTTCTTACATTATTGATTTTATCACTTTAAATCTTAAAAGTTTTTTCATAGCAAAAGTAAAAATTAAAAATGTATTTTATTTCATAAAAAAAAATAATAATATGTGAAATGTAAGAATCAATCTTAATTCTCAAATATTATTTACAAAAAATTTAAATATATTTTTGGAATTCGATTAACTGTCAATCAACATATATCAGAAATAAAATAAACCTAAATTCCTAAATGATATATATGTTAGACCAAGACCATTGAAATCACCAATTTGAATCCCCTTAATCATAATTTAAAAACATTTAACCGAAATGTATAATTTAAACAGGAAAAAAATTAATAATACATAATTTTTTTGGTTGACTAATATTTTATCATTTTACTTACTTAAATTAATATTGAAAATCCATTTATTACTAAGAACTGTATTAGAAGTAATCCCGTGTTTAAGACATTCGTCGAATTTCTCTTTATGATTTAAATTACAATTCATTTTAAATCCAATTTCATCTTGAATAGAAAATGTTGGCTTTTTATCAATCATTGAACTTAAATATTTTCTTAAGTTAATTGCATTTAAACATTTTATTGGTTTAAACACATTAGAGACTAACATCTTGTTGTCCTGTATTGATAATTAAAACTTAAAAGAAATTTAAATTGAGCATTGTAAAATAGGAAACAATGTAAGTTTAAATAATTGTACAAGACATAATAACAATATGAAGATACATGAACATTGATATCTAAGTTCAACGCCAAGTAAATGAATTTCTTATTTAAGTTTTGTGGCTTGGTCTTGGAAAATGAAATTATATCATAAAAATCATGATAACAATATAAATACAATTTAGAGATAAGCTGTTTATTTGATTAAAACCACGACGATTATATTATATTATTATACCACGGTAAAACATGTAAATAAGCAGTAAACAACGAATTGAATATTTTATCAGCTATCGACTATTAGATTACGGATTTTAATAAAATATATACATACTACATAGTACATACGTAATGGGTAGGTACGTAAAATGAATAAAACGTAATAAACTTTATAATAGTCAGATATTAATAGGTATCGTGTATGTTACTGAAAAAATCCGATCGTTGTGGTTAAAGTTAGGTATTACTTATTTATAAGTAATTAGAATAAAAACAGAGGAATAATTTTAATCTAGTTTTCGTTAGAAACACTTTGTACAACCTAGTAAACCTAGCTAGATTCATGACAGTAAAAACTGATTAGGAACTTATTTAGCATCCATTTCAGAAAATAAATATGATTTTTATTTTTTACTAATAATTGAGACTTATAATATATAATGTCGTCAATAAATAATTTGATTCATTACTTTTCTGAATTATTTCCTTTCATAATTTCATGCTTTTATACCTAGGTATTCACTTATTAGTTATTACATAGGTACCTCTATAACTTACTTTCAGTGTGATTTTTATGTAGGTCATAGGAAGATTGTTTGATTCAATAGGTACTACTTGAAAAAAGAAAAGAAAAAATGTTTAAGTTATATATAACATTTAAATTTAAATTATATATTTTATTATTAATATACTTTTTTTTTTGTTTTGAAAATTATAATTATGTATTATTAAAACAAATTGCTGATATCGTCTTAAATTATTTATATAAATATTAATTACATATTCTAGAAAATAAAATATAAATTATTATTTATTTTCACGTGATACTATATTGTGGTACTTAGTTACTGCTACATTAAATATTATACTTGATTGACTATTCTTTAGCTATTTTTCTATCAATCGCATCTAAAATTAAATTTAAATATTACCTATGCTAACTAAATAATCAGTTATACACTGAATATTTAATTAATCATTTTAAATATGTATACTTTATGAATACTTTACTAAATTAAATCTATTATTGTATAACTATGCATAACGCATGTACTAATAATTGTTTTTTACTTATATATTCAACTATGAAATGTGTAATAAATGAACTAATAACTATATTGTTATATGCTTTAAACAATATTATCATGCGTACAGTGTGTAACCAAACTAAAATCGTTAATATATTACAATGAACATTCTTAAATTTTTGTAAAATACCAATTTAAATATAATACATAATACAAGGAATTAAGTTATGAGCTGTAGATGGTCCCTTACTTCTTTGTTAATCGAATTGATTTAATAATTAGATTGAAGGCTAAAAATGCAGAATACTTAGTGTTAAATTGTTCTATTGGTATAGATTTATACGTAGGCATTTTATACTTAAATATTAATACAAGATACGTTATCTACTGGTTAGTAATTTGATGCCGAAAAAGAATGAAAAATTAATTTATAAAATAAAACAAGAAAAGACTGTTAATCTTTAATTTCCTATACAAATTGCCGTTTTCTGAGTAGGTACCCAAAAATCATCTTTTATAAAATATTATAATTTTTTAGTACTTTAACCTCAAAATATGTACCTAATCTATTTATTTATATTTATATAAAAAGTATTATAAGCATTTGACTTTATCAACATTTCTAAAATTGACAATTTTTAAAAATTAAAAATACATAACGTTTTTAATGTTCATATTTCACGCTTAAGGTTTGAACATAGGTAACAAAACTATTTGTATATATAATCTAGATTTATTTTAAATTAATTTCAAACAATAAGTAAAATTTTTTTTTTTTTGAGCGATTGAAGTTTAAATTTTTACGATATTGCATAATATTCATTAATTTGTAAAATTCCTTTCTCTCTTCAAACAATTTTCGTTATTTTTATATCTAATTCAAAAATAAATAATTGTAGGACGTTAAAATTTACAAGAGTGTTTGAATTATCATTTTCTATACATGGTACAATTTTTAAAATATTTTGACTATTATTTAACTATTTATAGGCATGAGGAATTTGCTATTTGTGTATTATTTTTTTTCCAATAAATATTAATAAAAAAAATTATTTACTAGGTCAAATTTTTTTTAAATTTTATAAAATATCTCACATAAGTTGTTCTATTATCTGTAATAATAAATTAAAAATACAGAAGTACAATTTTTTTATATGCATTTTGAGATCAAATTTTTACAAAATCACAAAAAAAATACAAATTACTTCGTGGTACAAAATCATTTTTTCTTCAGTTGTTTTAATTAAGGTTTGAAAATTCGATGTAAAAACAATGTACATTATATTGTTATAATCTAAAAATATTATTCGTGACGACTTTTAACTTTAATTTAGGTAGGTATATTATAAATTTTACCATATATGATGACAACCTTAAAATATTATGTAGATTAATTTTAAGATATTCCCATTTCACACTGTTTAACGGTAAGTTAATACCTACTAACTCAAAAATTAATCACAATAGTCAAGTATAATATGATTGAATAGGTACCTAAATGTAATATTTAAAAAAAAAATTAAATCTATCTACCGTAACACTAATAAATTACTTAAATAACAATATCAAAAAACGATTTATGGAAATATATTCAATGATAATATATAGATTGACATTTGACAATGTTTCGCATAGAATCGTTTTTGGTGTATATAGGTACATTTTTATAGCCGGTGCACACAAATTGGGTCCCAGTGATATTTATCGAGAGTTGCGTCTTAACGTAAAAACATAATTTTCCTTCCCGTATACAAACTAAAAGTATTATCTGCTTAAAAGTTACCTTACTGTTTTAAATAGAATTGGGAAAAAAATATTATTATAAAATAGTCGTAAATGTATAAAGTGAGACACAACTCGTGTAGTCATTTAGATAGAGCTGGACATATTTCGTGTACCTTCTTATCGATTATTATATATCGGGACGCAATTCATGTGTAGCCTTTATAGCGACATTGAAATTTAATAAACCCACTAAAGTGACCTACTGTAGATACAGCGGAGCGGTACCCACCTGCCAACGTTTTGTCTTCTTTTATTTTGTTATTCAATTGCTTTACTTTTAGTTGGAAGTTGGAACAGTCGTCATTCGTCAGTCGACAGTTAAACAGACGTCAGACAGTAAATCTGCGTACACGCTTTTAACATTTGCGCGAAATGAAACGTAACGTAGACGCTTAACAGTGATATATTATGTGGACATGAAGGCGTAACACCGTCGCGTACAAAAGTTGATACGCGACGAAGTCAAATCGCATTCTACAAGTTGTCGGAAAATTCTAGTAGCATCAAAAGAGTGTTGCTGGGTGGTATTACGAATAGTGCATCTAAGTTACGTTAGTAAGCTACGCGCAATGCGCAAATATTACCAAGTGTGTACGCAGCATTACAGTATTGGTGGGACGAAAAGACTTTACGAACATTGACGTATATTTCCTATAAAACGATTGTATCCAAGGACCACTACTGCGTTCGCGTCGTCAACCATACAAACGATAACAAACCTTTACCATTCGGTATGCCATCGGTTATCACTTTTATACATGTTCCCTTGGCCGTTCACCGTCAATCTTATATAATATCTCCATGGTGATGCATGACGGTAAGCGTCGGAAGCAGCTCAGCATCTGCCATCCATATACGTACTTTGTTAGTTTGTTTACAATATTTTTGTGTTTGCAAATCGTCGTTCGCTGGTCGAGCTGTTTATAAGAAAACTTAATTCTACATTTTTATATTATAGTAATCGTATAACTCGGATAACAGAATTTTTTTTTTAATTAGGTATAAGTGATATATTATTGCGTCGACATACTTAATTTACAACTGTTCTCTATTTTGTACTTATTATTATTTTCGTCATTATTGTTCATTATTAATATCGTTATAATTATTTGGTAATAGGTATTACCTTTATTAGCACCATTTTTATTTTATTTTAAAACCTTTTCATTCTCATTTTTAATACCTAACCATAACGCTGTGAATATTTTTGTTTGTGTTGTGTATTTTTGTTTGATGCTTTTAATTGTCTTGTTGTAAAACAAAATCATACAAAATGTTCAAACTGGATTCAGTTCAGATGCCTCAACAACTCAGTCAGGCCGCTCACGATCGTGAAAAAGTATTTCAATGGATTGTTGAATTGTGCAATGCTGAAACCAGAGAAAATGCACTTTCTGAGCTCAGGTAACAAAACTCTCATCGCTTAAGTAATACGTTATAAAAATCTTACTTAGTGTATTACTGTTATATAACATTGTAGACCTGTAACTAAGCCTAAACATTTCTTAAACAACATTGTTTTTTTTGCAAAATGTTGGATTACATTTTTTACAAAGCTGTTTATAATTATGGTGATAGCATTAGGTAAACACTCAAGGCATGATTGAAGTCACTATTATTATTAAATTACATTTTTAATTCAATGAGTAAAAGCAATTTGTTCAACTAAATTAATATTATTGACATTAATTTAAATATATTTTTTTCATACCAAATTTTTCCTATATTATTATTTTTCTAACCTTTTTGAATTATTATAATATATATTAATTATCATTTTAATTTTTAATTGGGTATGCAGTTTTGAGTTAAATAGAAAATTCTATATGTTACTTTATATTACTATTTTGTAGGTACAATGTTAATACTATATATTATAACTTTAATAAAATATAAATTACAAACATTGTAACTACTTATTAAAAATAAAAATATGTTTACTTTATTTATTTTTCAGCTCAAGACGCGATATTATCCATGATCTTGGTCCAATGATTTGGCATACGACAGGCACTATAGCAGCATTATTGTTTGAAATTGTGTCTACTTATCAAT